ATTCCTGCTACACTCACAACTTCACCAGTTCCCATTTTTACTTTTGCATTCAGATTTCTACTCACATTCACCAGCAAGCTTTCATTTCCTGTCATGTGGTTGCTACAACCACTGTCAATATACCAGGTGTTATTGACCTTCACCTGAGACACAAAGTTGCAAGCAAAAAATAATGTTCCCATATCATCAACCTGATTTGCATAGTTAGCCTTCTGCACCACTTTGTTCCCATTACAGTTTCTGACTTCATGACCAAATTTATTGCAATTTGTGCATTTAGGTTTTCCTTCAAACCAGCACTTTCCATAGTGCAGTTTATCATAATGTTTGCAAGCTGTTTTGTTCGAATCATGGGAATTATTCTGCTTAGAGATAAAATTAGGCTTAGTATCCCACTTTTTCCCTTTGTTCTTCCAACTTTTCCCTGATTTCTGTGTACCAGAAAACCCATTGGGTTTTTGAAACTTAGACCCAACATTTAGACTAGCAAATGCCTTTTCAGTAGAGTGATCAGTATGCATATCAAGCCTTTGTTCATAACCCTTCAGAGAAGCAACCACTTCTTGGATTTCAAGTGTTTCAATATCCTTTGAGTGTTCAATCACAGCACAGATAGAGTCATAACTTCTAGGCAAGCTTATAAGTAATTTTTGAACAACTCTCTCCCTAGATAGTTCTTCACCATAACTCCTCATTTGATTCATGATGTCAAACAGTTTAGTAAGATATGCAGACAAAGATTCATCATCTCTCATCCTAGTATACTCAAACTCTCTGCGTAAACCTTGTAATTTCGCATTTCTAACCTGTTTATCACCTCTGAATTCTTGCTGTAGGATATCCCAAGCTCATTTGGAGGTTTCTTCATTAGAAATCCTGGGAAAAATCTGATCAGACACAGCTCCTTGAATCAACCCAAGGGCCTTAGCATCCTTCATTATGATCTCCGCAACGTTTGTTGACATTTGAGTAGCTGCATCCTTCTCCTTCTTTTCATCAGCTATCTCAACCACAGTAGATGACTCTGGGATAGTAAACCCAGTCTCTACAAGATCCCAAAGTCCATGAGATCTGAGAATGGTTCGCATTCTGATATTCCAGAATTCATAGTTCTCGCCATTGAAAATGGGAGTACGAAGTTCAGAACTCATTGATCCAGCCATGTTAGACACAGATCTTCGATTTGAAGATTTAAGAAACTCGATTCTTCAGCGATTCACTGAAGAACCCAGAAAACACAGATTCACGCCCAGATTAAAGCGATGAACTAGGCTCTGAGGCCATGTTAGAGTTCTATGGAACAGCAGAGCACAAAACCAAGAAGAAATCAATAAGATTTTGATTTCAACCAAGAACGAAAACGAAAATGGAGATGCGAAGAAGATGAAGAGCTCTGTGAATTCTCTGATTTCATTCAGCTATGACTGAAATGATTAAGAAGCTACAAACATAGAGTGGGGGAAGATATAGCCGTTTGAAGGCGCACTACCTCTCCCATTACACAAACTCACGTGTATCTCACATGCTCACATATGAGTGAGATGTTATACCATGAGACACACATACATTTAGCCTATTAGCTTTGATTTAATCTCAGCCTTACATTTCAAAACTAAGAGAAAAGAGACTTTGAATTACAATGAAACAGAACACAACAAACACAAGGCAGCTGCAAGGCTTAAACATCAACAGCCCCTTGGTTTCTAGCTCGCATAGACATTTATTTTTACTATTCGAGGTGAGGGAGGGAATCACGATCACATTCCAGTGATCTGAGGCTCAGAGGTTCATCTTGGTAAATTCAACTCCTTTGCCTTCATGAATAGGGTCCTTGCACACAAGATGGCCTGGATGGTTTGCGTTGGCGATTGGGCTATATGGTTGAAAGCTGCCTTACAATGAGCTTTCCAGATGTGCCAGTAAATAAAAGCAAGTTGAGTCATGATTCTAGCTCTCTTTCTAACCAAATTCTCATTCAATGTCTTCGATAGCCAAGCAACAAAGGTGGTTACTGTGTCTCAAAGGTCGTTACTGTGGCTCTATCAATCATATAACTTAGAGGCCTTCCAAACCAAACCAAGTTCACCCAAGGGCACAAGAGGAGCAAGTGCTCAATAGTCTCTTCCTGCTCATTGCATAAAGGGCAAAGAGGAGTTATTAGCCCATGTCTTTTTGAAAATATTTGCCTTTGTTGCAGTTGCATTTTTAGTCCTTTCCACAGGACATTCATGATTTTTAGCCTCCAACGCTCGTAACCTTTTCCAAACAGTAGGGACCATGATTCTTGATGTGGATAGCCGTCTTTGTTACCTTCTGCCCTTTTTTTCTTAGCTACCTGTACCCCAATTTTACCGTATGATTTCCTTTCTTCTCAGTTGGCCAAATCAGTTTATCCAGGCTTATGGAATCACCCACCTGAACTTTAGTGATAACCGAGCCATCCTCCTCTGAAATTAGCCCACAGATTGGCTCCAATTGCTAGCATCGCTCCCCCGAGTGGATGATTGAGGCAACACGCTAGCCGTCACCCACCGTTGCACCAATTAAGAAAGTTGGGTGACCTGGGACCACATCAGGCACCCATCTATAAACTCAAATCCAAGTTTGGCCCCCATTCATAATTTGCCAACGCGCCCCATTTAGTAACACTTATCTTCCTTCTGTCAGGTTTGCCCAGATCCATGAGGCTCTCCTACCCTCCTTAGTTTCCAAGAACGAAGTATGAGGGAAGTATCTCTCCTTGAGGACTTGGCACCATAGAGAGCCTAGCTCGTGAATCAACCCCTAACATTGTTTTGCTAAGAATGCAAGGTTAAAGTCCTTTAGGTTCCTGAAACCCATCCCACCATCATTCTTTGCCTAACCCAAGGCTTCACAGCCAAGCCAATGTATTTTACGCTCGTTTTGCTTTTGTCCCCACCAGAAACCTAGCAACAGTCGCACCTGTATCCCTGCATAATACATCAAGAAATTTGAAGACATTCATAAGATATGCCAAAACTGTCAAGGCCATCGCCTTAATTAAAGTTCCATTTCTGGCCTGTGAAAGGTCCTGCTGCTACCACCCCTCGATTTTCCCTAATATACGGTCTTTGACATAAGCTAGGGTTCCCTTTTTTTATCTACCTCAAACTGCCAGGATACAAAGTATTTTCCTGGATCGTCGACATTTCCAGTAAAGCACTAAGCTCATCACAATCTCCACCGGTATATTTGCACTGAAATAGATCACTGAATTTAATAAGCTAATCTCCTTCCCCGACGCTTGGCAGTAAGAAAAATTACTAACATGCTGATAATGAACATGTAGCAAATGATTTCGGATTGAATTAAATTTTTGCAAGGAGAATCTATGAATTGATACTTACAAAATAGACAGTTCAAATCGTTGAAATTCGATATGGAGTGAGTCCCATACCTAATCCCAATTTTTTTTCAAAAATGGGAACCCCTTTGCATAAAGGGCCTATGTGAATTACTATGTTGCAAATGCAATTCGGGGACATGGGGGTGATTGGGGGTTATGGGAGGGAGAAGAGGGACAATAGGGCTATTTTTAATTAAATATCTTTAGTTTTTAATTAGTAAATGAATCATTTAATGTTTTTTTACGGAAGTGACTGACATTGTAAACTTTATAAAATATGGTGACCAAACTTGTTAAATTTAAAACATATTGAACAAAATAAATTTTTGGAATAATATTTCATAATCACTAGTGAGTATTCTATGCACTTACTTTTTTATTTGACTCAACGTGTTTCTCGTTTTTAAAGGCCAAGAAAAATTACTAACATGTTCATTATTTTCTAAAACAATAAAACATGTGTTGATTTATCTTTGGACAAAATTAAAAGATACGTGATCACTATTGAGTATAAGTATTGTCCTCTAAAATAATAAAACATGTGTTAATTTATTTTTGGACAAAAGCAAAAGGTGAGTAAACACTATTGAGTATAAGTATTGTCGAATTTTAAGTATAAACAGCCCATTGGATGTGTAGCCGCCAAAAAGACAATTAATAATTCCATGCTTTCATGCCCTTCCTTCCTACCTGCTTCTCCAAAATGGAAAAATCATTTGAAAATTCAGGCGGAGAGTCAGAAGAGAGAGGTGCAATGCCTGAACGTGACGAACAGCAACCTTCTCTTCTGATTTCGAGAAAAAACTAAGAAAGTGAGCGTGATCGACATTCTCTCCCGAGTCGACTCAATATGCAAGAAATACGACAAGTATGAAGTCAAGAAGCATGGCGACCTCAACCCCGCCGGAGAAGATGCCTTTGCATGTCACTACATTCATGTCGACAGCGAAATAAAAGCCGCTCTTATGGTTCATCGTCTCACTTTTGGTTGTCCGGTATTGCTACTTGTGTTTGGTTGCCGAGCCAATGTTTGAGTTATTTGTATTGGAAAAATAGGGTTTAATTGCTATAGTAAATCACATAGGAAATCAAGAAATAATTCATGGAATTATATATCAAAGTGATACATGCACATAAGTAAACAATGTTAAATAACATGACATAATGGATCAGAAAAATCTGGAAATACAATTGAGGTAAATGTTAGAAATTTTATCCTTAAGACAAGTTTACGCCTAATTACGGTGCTCATGGGTGATGGGTGCTTGTCTCCCAAGATACAATGACCACACCCTTGTAATAGTAGCACTCCAAATCATAAGGCTCCAATGAACCACGATTGGGTTGAATACTCTCTCAAGTGGACTCAATGAGACTATCTAATATTTAGTTCACTCTATGTATGATTATGTAAACAATAAAAAGGTTTTGAATGATTATAGAGGGTCTCTCTATTTATAAAATTTGAGATACCTCTTTAGAAAACATGTGACTATTATTGAAGAATTAAAAGTAGCAACTCTTCATTTGAAAGACACATCTTTCCACCAAAGGCACCACTTCTAAATTCCATTTAATTACTATAATAATAATTTAAATTTTCGAACAATTTGATTGTGTGTCGGAATGTGAAGAAAGCCGAGAAGGCTGCGAAGGAGAGTAGTCGGGCTTTGACGGTTTCGACGTATGTGGAAATTCGCCGGAGCATGGCTCGCTTGATGGAGGAACTTCCTAAGCTGCGCACGTTGGCTCAGAAAAAGGTGAAACGAATCCTATTCATCTATTTTTATTTTATTTTTAAGTTTCATGTTTAATTATTAACTAAGACAAAATTAGAAAATATATGTGATTAGATATGATTTTTTATTTATTTTTATATAGTAGGATTATATAGGACACAATGAATCATAAGATATGCTGCATCACATATTATGTTTTCCTTTTCTATTGGTTTTAATCGATTGTGTAAACATAAATTTTGAAGGATGCGCATGTGATTCGAGATTTGGTGGGTAAAAATGTATGGGAATTTTGATTCAGCCAATGGTGATTAGCCAAGATGGAGATGGTGTGTACGGATGAAGTGTGTGAGAATACCTCCAAATTTATGTCACGTTCTTATCTAATTGCTGGCTTTCTCTCCAAAGTCGACAGTTTCTTGTGGTCGAAAAAAGTCGGTAGTTTCTTGTGGTCGAAAAAAGTCCATAGTTTCTTGGTTTTGGAAAAATGGTGTGGATTGAGCCTGATTGTTACTGTTTACTGTGTGTCTATCATCGACGCACGAGATGAACAAACAAGAGTGGTTCTTGTAGTAAAGGAACAAAACAATCATCGTCAACGAAATTGCAGAAGCTACAAGGAACTAGACTAGGACAGAGTGGAAGCAAACGCGCTTGCCTAGAGGCGAGGCGAAACGAGACAACTGTAACCTCGGTAGATATATTCCATGAGATCTTGCATTTCCTCTTTATAATACAGCTTATGTTCCGAGACCATTAGCATCAGAGTTGGGACTCTACGAAGTTATGCGTTATGTTCCGAAGCAGATAGAGAACCCGTTCACATGAATTCTCAAGGGGTTGCATAGAATCTAACGATGAGCTTCTCTACTTTGATGACTTGTCATGAATTTTCTTCTTTTTTCTTTGGGTTTGCTTCTTCAGTTCCTTAGGTAATTTTTTTCTGTCACACTTCACCAGTTCTGCATTCTCGAAGAAAATAAGATGTTCTGAAAAGGGCTTCATGTATCTTCTTTTTGTTAATTCCTTCTTGTCTATATTATCATTTCATATCTCATGTTCATGTTTTACCCTGAACTGACATAACCTTCTAACATTTATCCCGCTAATGATGTTTACGCTGCACTTTTTGGTTACTGATGTGGATTCGCTTTGACAATAAAAAGCAAAAAACGTAACCAACGTGACCAAATCCAAAAGCTAAATAGTGAGTTGCACAGCGTGAGAATATCATCCCGCAACGCGAGAGCATGAATTGGCGTCGGCATGGTTCTTCAGATACCATAAGAGTGTGCCCAACATATAGCCTTAGTATATAACATGGCAACCATAGTGTGACTGTGTGAACGTCTTGGACCTATAGACACGCACACCTACACAAACATAAAGGAATTTGGGTCGTACCCTTTAATATTGATTATTATCACCACTATTATCTCTAAAGACTTGTAACAACAAAGTTGCTTAACTTGTATTCATATTTTGGTTTAATTACAGGTTAAAGGGCTGTCCCCTGAAGAACTAGAAACACGTAGTGATCTGGTTTTTGCACTGCCTGAGAGGATACCAGATGGGACAGAAACTGCAGCCAAAAAAGCTGGGGAATGGGGAACTTCAACATCTCATAAAAATATCAAACTTGACTCATCAGGTAATCAGTATTTTATATGCTTTTTTATTTTTCTGCTGTTATAGTTTTCAATGAATGTCAAGCCTTTTGATAGATTATTAAGGTTAATGTGTTCCCTTACCATTTAGATGGGAACTTTGACAGTGAGTTTTTCCAGCAAAACAGAAGAATCGAGTCAGTTCAGGAAGGAGTATCAAATGCGGAAACTAAAACAGGTATATATTGATCCTGATTAATTTAGTTTCTTTTATTTCTTCTCTTTGAGGCAAAAGAAAAGTTAGTGTTAGACAGCTGCTTTTGATTCTCCTGCAGTCCAGCTCTGCTGTTATTTTGATTGAGTTGGTCACTTGCTCAGGATGAAGGTCTAGATATCATCTCGGAAGGTTTGGGTACTTTGAAAGATTTGGCCCATGATATGAATGCGGTTGATCGATGCACATAACTCTGGTTCATTGTGTTATTGGAAGAATTCAAACTTTGATCGTTGTTTCGATATGTTCAGGAATTGGACCGACAACTCCCACTAATTGGTGAGATAGAAACAAAAGTGAGATTTTCTTCTCTAACTAGAATCCTAATCTTTCCGGCGACACCGGTGAGAGATTGTGTTTGTAACATTTTAAGTTCATTACTTAGTGATGGAGTTTTGATGCTTTTACAGGTGGACAAGGTTACATCTGACATAAAAAGTAACAATGTTAGGCTCAAGGAAAATCTAAACAAGGTATCTGTACGCTGACCATATTGATCAGTTTTAATTGTTGCATCATACAGGTAGGGCTCTACTAATGAGAAACTTGGTTTGTTTTGCAGGTGAGATCGAGCTGGAATTTCATCTTTGACGTTATTTTGCTTTGTATTGTTCTGGGAATCGCCTTCTATCTTTACAAGTATTCTCTCTGTCTTTTTACTGAGAAAACCTTAAAATCTAGTCCCCAAATGCTAAGAAGCTTATATTTGTGAAATTGGTTTCATGTTCCGGAAAATAACTCATAAGACTGTTTATGCCACATTTATTTCACGGAGTTGTCTAAGAATTGATTTTGCGTGTTCTGAATGCTTTAACATACTTTTCTTTCCTTGAATAAATGAGATGTTCAACTGTTTTATTTACTACTGCGATGAAGTTACTTTAAAAAGACTTCAGCAGCTTATCGGATCATATCTGATGTGGTATTACATTCTTCCATTTCATAAGGCTTTGCTAGCTTGTATCTCTTTAACATCTTCCGTTCAAGTACAACGTTAATTATCTAATCGGGTTTTGGCTACTTGAAGATGATTATATACAGTTTCTTGCTCACGGTGGTTCTTTCTCCCAACAATGTGGAAAATTTGTAGTTTAGATTTTATTTATGTCTGTACTTGTCCTTCAATGAATTTATTGAGCATCAATTTGCCTTAAATAGTTTTACAGTGCATTGTTCGATCCAAATCCATATTGTTGAGTGCATTTTTGCTCACCCCCTAAAGTAAGTGTGATGCTCACCCCAATTTATTGCCGTTATATTAGTTTGGTGAGCATCACCTTACTTTAGGGGGTGAGCAAATTAAATTGCACTAGGAAAAAACTATGCTATCGAATGTCAAATTATCTTTTTGTAAATGGAAAGAATTTATAACCCAATGAAATTAAAACAAACTGAACATGTATGATAATTACTCATATTATTTAAGTATTTGACAATACTAATTTACATATTATTACACTGAAAAATGTTTTTTTCTTTCTTTTTTTCCCATCCTTGATCAAGCATGAAGTTACACATTCTTATGAGGGTGGTAATAAATATTCCCAACCAGGAGAGCACTCTCCACATAAACAGAGTTAACTAGCAACAAATGTAGATTATTGAACTGGTTATATGTACTGCCCAGTCTTGGAGGCCAAATCGATATCGTGCTTTGTACACCTTGTTTACACTTCATGCTGTACAGCCAGAAACTATGGCCTCCTGAATGTGTTCATTCCTCAAGGGCACATAGCTTTCATCAAAGACTTTATTACGAGGAGTATGTATCTAGGAAGGCCATTTCATTAAACTCCTCAAAGTTGGCTGGAACAGTTGGATTTGCTTTGGGTATGTCATTTTGCAAGTGGTTTGGAATGTAGCAGTTGACAACATTGCCAGCTGCTAGTTTCTTGCTAGGCAGAACGTTCCCATCTTTGTTCTTGCTTTCTAGATTTATGAGTGGAAAGAGATTTTCTTTCGTATTTTCTTCTCTAATCTTCCTTTTTAGTGTGGAATTAATGCCCGAAGAAGAAATTGATACTGTGGATTTTACCTTGTTATTTGAGCCGACTGGATAGCTATCTTTGCTCCCTTGAAAGCTCGCACTTGAGGTCTCTATCGGTGATGGAGGTTGACCGGCGAGGATGGAAGCTAATACTCGACAGTCTTTGTATAGAAAATCTGTGATTATATCAGCACGATGGATTGGATTTGTAGGCCGTACTGTTAGCCCAGATTTTGGTAGGCACCTCCAAAATTCAGTGTTGTAGATGTCTTGAGCGTTGCATGTGTTCTTTGTTGTGTTTCCTCGCTGTTGAACTCGGCATAGTACCCAATCATCCAACTGTTACAAGACGAAGCATTTTTAAATGTATTTCCCTTGATCACATTGCTTTGATCAAAGAAGATGTATGAACTGCATAATTTACCGAGTCAAGTGAAAAAAAACATGAAGACGACGACTTAATTTAAATCAAAGCATGGTCTGAAGCAATGATTTTTAAGATTTAAAATGTTTAGTACCTCTACCATCTGTGTTTCACTTTTAAAAACACATTAGCTATAGTACAAGGCAAGATTGAGTATGTTGAATTCTGAGGGAACCTAGCTAGCTAGGCTAGCACGAGACTTTGATAGAGCATGAGCGACTCTAAACAGTTTATGGGTGTGGGGATCAACAGTTATCAGGAAGACACGTGGATGACTGAAGCTAGCATTTCTCAAATGTGAAACAAAGTACAGTACGTATTGGTTGATTAGTAAGCTTATGCCTTTAAGTGGTTTGTTCCATTTTTTGAGATACATATATTTAATATGCAAACTCAGTATCTCATTCTATCGACTTACTCTCATAGAACCTTTGCATCTCGAGGGGTTAACCGTACAGTGGAGCAGTCTATACTCGTTCATGATCCATTCAGTCTTAACTCCTTTAGGAGCTCGACCGGTGTAAAAGACCAAAGCCTTCTTCACTCCTATCCGCTTCGATCCACAAGAGGTGAGAATTGGCTTATCACTTCCAGCAGCCTTCCAATAACCCACTGCTGCTGTTCTATTAGGCCTCTCCCCATTCGGATACTTCCGGTGCCTCGGGCTGAAGAAGTACCACTCATCTTCTCCAAACAAAGCCTTGTCTGCAAAAATCAAGTAATAAAACAAACAATTCAAAAACATATACACTCGATTATTACTGTGTAATCCAAATCGAAGGATTAACCATGGAGGAATGAAATGAATGAATGCTTCAGTACTGACTGGGTAGCTCCCACGGATTATACTTATACAGATCGATCTCCGTGATCAACTGAGCTGGAAGCGGATGCGAAATCATTTTGTTTCGCAAGTAGTGAACGATGAGTTCTTCATCTGATGGATGGAATCTGAAACCCGGAGGCAAATGCATAGTTGAATAAGTCGTGAATGCGGGTTCTTTCTCCATGAAAGCGCAGTTTTTCCTGGACGACGAGGGAATACAATAAGAAGCAACGATAATATCAATCTAAAACAGTTGTAGATGGAAAATGAAATGGTATGAGAGGCAGTATATATGTGCATTTTTCATGCACATGCGGACATTACGTGAGATAGTTAAACAAAAAAAAGTCTCACGTAATTAAATGCATGTTTCAACTCCAAAGAAAGAGACTTCGTGACGGCTACCTGTTTGGATTATTATGTTGGAATTACATTCTTCGACCAACCTTCTTGGATAATATTGTACGGTCCTCAGGCCCTGGAGCTAATTAAAATTAATTTAAGGGAGCTTTAACGAAAAGCTCTCGGTATTATTCACTTTAACGAAAAATCACATTTTTACTCTAAAAAGTCAATCGTGGTACTATTCACTTACAACATCTTTTTGTCTTTTTCGTTAAAACTCAAAATTTTCAAACCATTTTCATTAGTTTTCTTCAATTTAACTCATCAAAATAAGTTTTGGTTGAGTAGGGGTTTCAGTAAAGTGTAGGCTTCCATGTAATTTACCCTAGTTAAAGACAAAGTTTTGACAGGTAATTTGCATGGAAAATATCTTTTGAATAACTCTTTAGATTAATCATAAGAAGGAGAGTTCTCCTGGATTTTACTGAGTTTTGATAATTATATGTCTCAAGTGTATAGGTGAATAATGTAGCATATTTTGATTCGCTTTTGGAACAAAATCTAATGGTTGGCTGAGGCTCACATTATAACAGCTTAAACTATTAGGATCAACGCGTTTGGTGTATAAGCTGTAAATGTAGTAAGCTGAATTTAACTTGTTAAACCCTAGTGGTCAAAATGCAATCACACTCCCATATTTAAAAGAGGTAAATAATGGTTGCCTTACGTCCAAACAACTAGTTTCTTATCTCTCACTCTGAGAGGGCGAGTCTTCAGTACGGCTGCAGCATATGACAACACACACTTACATCCAACTCATATTATGAATGTTGTCTTATGAGACAACCGTAATCAAACGAATATCACCATGTTAGTGGTTGTTTAATTACTCTCTTGGAATAACTTGTTGAGATTCTTTGTTTATTGCTTGGGGTTACGGCGGTGAAAACACTATTTCCCATAGTTTCAAACCCAATTGTGCTCCAAATTGGCTGGACTCTGGCTGGACTTGATCGGATTATGACAAAACATTATTAGATTGTCAATGCATGCAACATTGTGTGGTTCTAAATCTTTTGAATCGGATTATGAATAGATTCTCTTAACACTTCTATGCTTTTAACAACATAGTTTTCTCCGTATCAAGCTTTATGGAGACGTGTCCACTTTATGTCAAAGACATAGTAATGCCACCAGCATAAACACTAATCAGTATGTTTCTGCCAGTAAAATATTTCCTTGTTCGTGGATGTGATTTGAGCGTCTTACTCTCCAGCCTATATTCATAGAGTACGTGGTGATGTTGATCATGAGTGCGAGATAATGTAAATTATAATTCAGTATAAATATGTGTAGATAATAGATATATCCAACATATTTAGTGGGTGGAGCTGTAAAGCATGAAAACATTTTATAGTATATGAAGTTTATCCATAAGGTAGGGAATTGTCGTTTTATTCAAATTTTCTCTTGGTATTTATTTGATAAAGTATCGTTAGTACATACAGAGACAAGTTTTGGTTATGCATTATATGGATGGAAAGAATGTGACGAAACCTAGCTCACTTGCACAGAGGATCACACAAAAGTTGATATGTCGTTCGGCTTAATTGAAAATTTTGAAAATGAGAGTTTCCCACTTACAACATTTTTTTTTTTTTTTGGAAAAACCTTTCCGAAGAAAGGAGACAATTTTATTCCAAACTCTAGATTACAAACAGAAGGCCACATACAAACCAGATACATACACACAGATGGGCCTCCCAACAAACCCACCAAAGCTAAAAAAAGAGCCCAGCCCTACAAACAAAACAAAGGAAGCTTCAAGACCCCAGCATCCACCGCCTTCAAAGTTTTCCAGATTAACCCAGAAGAAATCCTTCAGCCAACGCCAAATCCAATCAAGCAACTCCGTAGAACCCAGCCACAGAGGTTGTACCGAGCGCCCCAATCTCAGCCAGAAAGTAGAAGAAGTCTGTGGGATCACCTTGAATGACACTGCCAACGAAGGCAGACAGAGAGAAGGAGAAGGAGGTCGTGTGTTAAACACCCAATTCGATGAGTCCACCGAAGTGCTACACACCCTCTCAAAATATCACAACCATGTGCTTTGAAGTCTGAATGCATATCGAGTTGAAAGTATGTGGGGAAGACAGGCATTGGGTAGAGACATTTTGGGTAAATCAGGAAGAACTGGGAGAAAAATTAACTAAAAAACTGAGAAACAGAAAGCAAAACAAAAACCTTTCCTCCGACTTGATGAGGGAATCACTCACACACAGAAGGTGGAAAAGACTCTCAAGAAGAGAGAAGGAACTCTCACATTATTTTCTCTCACATAAAACCCATTCTCTTTATTTTTTTTTTCATACTTAAACCCTATTTACTAGAGTCCAACTAAGCAAATTTCCTTAAAAAAGCTTGGTATGTTAGTTTTTATAATTCTCGTGTTCCTAAAATACCCTCATAGAGTGTAACATGGGTTAGGTTTGATTTATGATTAATAATAAATTTTTCATTTTATTGTTTTCAATGCAATTAAATGTCAATTAACCTATTATTTGATTAGGTTTTCTTTTCTCTATTTTTTTTTTTTTTTTTT